CAGTATAAACTTGAAATTCTATTATATTAATTTTGATTGATAAAAGTTGATATTGAAATTTAAAACCAAAAATCGATAACACTGTTTATATTTAAAACTGATAAATGTCTGAGTTTTTGTAATTATCTATTCTACCCTCATAATATAAACTATACTTTTAATTTATAAATATATAAGATGAGACGGATCATTTGCAAACTTTGACTATTAAAATAAAATGCAAAATACATCTAACCGTTCATGTTGTTTTAATTATTATTTTTAAATATAGTGTAATAACCAAAAAAAATTGAATATAATATTAATGATAGGAAACCCAATGGTCATGAAACCTACGACCATTAATCTTGGCTTATCGTTTCATATTCCATGAAACCGCCGATGACTTAGTATAAAATGGGAGTTTGTAGCTTTATGTGAAGGTTGGTGTCAATAAAGAGAACTATTATGAGAAAAGGCGACGGTGGACGCTGTAATGGGAGTTGACCGTGTTATACATCACATATAGTTTGACGCCAATCGGGAGACGCTAGCCTCTTCAGAGAACGGTTTGGACTACGAATTGTACCGTGAGTTACACGTGATTTATTTTTAAAATGGTTGCATGCCTTATTATGCAAAAGTTGTTTGAAGTTTCTCGAGATTTTTGATATGTTGTATATGTGTGAAAAGTTCGATTTTTTTATAATACGTGTTTTGAGTACTTGTGTGTCAATAGGGATGTACTTTGGTATGATTTTGTAAAGACGAACATGCTTTGTGAGCTTGTCTAAGCCGTAAGTGCGAACATGCTGTGTGAGTTCGCCAGGTAATGCTGTGTGAGGTAGACATCTCGCATGACGCTGTTGCTTTGTGATGTAGACACGCACTATAATATATTTATTTTGTGAAAAATATTATTCTCATCAAGGCATGCTAATTTATGAAGCTTCGTGAAAATTGTTTATCGTAAAAGTTGTTGTTCATGCATGAAAACCGTGGATTCACTGGGCCTAAGGCTCACCCAAAACTCTTTTAAAACTTTTTCACCCAGGCGACTATTAGACTGGAAAGAAAAGTTGGCGACTATTAGACTGGAGAGAAAAGTTGGATAAAGAGAAATATAAGGATTAGCATTAAAGAAGGACATGTGCAGATCAAGACATTGTTATATAGAGCAAAAGATGTTCGTCAAGATTGTAATGTTGATGGTGATATAATTTGTAAAATTAGAGATTTTATTTCCGCTGCAATGTAAGTGTTTGATCTTGAGATACTAGTTTTGATATATTTAAGTATTCGAAATTTTGGATGTTACATATAGCGAAATTAATTTAAATAAAGGGTTAGTATGGATTTTTTAACGATTAGTGGATAATATTAGTTATTTAAGGTAGTTATTTGATTTAATCAATTTCAACTTTTTTTTTATAGTAACCATCATCGATTTACATTTTTTATGTTAATCGTCATCAATTTACATCTATATACATAATAAATAAGTGACTTTGGGAATACGTGTCATGTTTTTGTGCGGCGGTTATTGATTTTTCCCGCCTAAACATGTATCTAGACACAATTTTCACTTACGGCTCAAATAGGTCTATTTAAGTGACATCTGTCCCTCTACACATATTTTTTTCTGTTTTCATGGTTTAAGCTGAATTTAAGTCTGAAGTGGGCTCCAGACTTACAACATAACTCTGAAAAAATTCAGAGTTGTAAGTCTGAATTTAACTCTGGAGTGCTCATCAAAACCGGGTTTAAAATTTCAAATTCGGATTTTTGAAGCATTTTTCACAAAGCAATATACCCGGGAAAAAAATTTCCAGCTCGACCCCAGCCAGGGGCTCTGCCCCTTGGACCCCAACACCGGGGGCGCTGCCCCGGACCCCTTTCATTAGGGGCTTCACCCCTAAATTAAAATAAACTCAAACAAGTGTGCACTCCGCACCTGCCTTACCTGTTCGATATTTATCATGATTACATTGGTAAACAATTTAATCTCATTACACTTAAATGACATTAGTGATACAAATCACAAACATGAAGTTAGAAGATATTGGTTATTTCTCAAACTTATAACATAACTCTGAATTTTTCTGTTCCAAACTTAGTTATATAGTTTATTTCCAGACTTAGAATACAACTCTAAACTCCTCTTCAGAGTTGAAGTTCAGAGTTACGTTTCTGAGTTATAAGAAGTCAAAATTCTTGTGAACTCAGAGTTATTCTCGTAGATATTTTCTATACTTAGAAGACAACTTTGAATTTCTTTTATTCAGAATTAAGTCCAGAGTAATTTTTCAACCTAACAATAGGACTCTGAATTTTTGTGTTTCAGAGTAAATGTTCAGAGTTTTCTTTCAAAGTTAATGTCCAGAGTTTTTCTCATTTAAAATAGCGCGTGTAATACACGGGGTCGAACCTAGTTTGGTGTATATACATCTTGATTTTTTTTAAAAGTAAATGAAATTTGGTTTCAACAATAAAACAACACCGTTTCATTTTTGGGTTTTGTTTTGATTTCGTGAATGAAATTGAGTTTTCTTCTGGTTTCATGAATGAAACTGAGTTATTTAGTTTCATATATAGTTCATGAATTAAATTGGATTCTTTTTAATTGGTTTTTGTATCGTTAAAACCAAAACAATTGCAAAACTGAGAAAAAATAGAAAAATATGAATAAGAAATAAATATTCAAATTGTTATATAAAATATAGCATACCAATAATTAAAATTGAAAATAAAAAATAAAAAATAAAAACGCACAAAAATAAAAAATAAATATTAAAAAATATGTAAAAGACCGGATTACCTTTTTCCAATTATTAAATAAGTGGTAAATAAGATTTTTTTTCTTCCAAAAACAAAGAATACCTGACTTATAGTTCAATTTTTATTCGAGTAAATTTCCATTTTTCTCCCTAAGGTTATCGAAGACCCAATTTTGGCTCAAGGTTTTCATGTGAAGATGTCCCAAGGCCTATCACTGTTAGTCGAGGGACATTTTGGTTATTTTGTCTTCCAGGTTATCAACTTTTTACTTAAATCCTTACTCAGTAAGTACTTATCATTAGGAGTCAATATTATAATTTTATTTTACTAGGTAAGATTGTAGTACATCAAAACGTATTCCATGCAACAATTTGTCTGGTAAGCGCTTACCCGGGTAAGAGTCGTCACCTTCACTTACCGGGTAAAACTCTTCATCCTTGTCATCGTTCTTACCGGGTAAGATTATTGGCTCTTACCATGTTCATCCGGTGAAAAAAATTACCCAATAAATACTTACCAGGTAAACGTTTAGTAAACGGCCAATTAGTTACAAATTTATATAGCTCATGAAAATTTATATACCGATAAAATGGTTCATGTCTGTACAATGGCCTCCAAAGAAAACCTTCATTGTGCTTATATCCTCTCTCCTTCCCATCATTCCTATCCCTTCATGTGTCTAGTTGCAGATAGGTCCCAAGATTTCGAATTGGGTTTCCCTGTGCCTGCGTGTGACGAGATTAGGAATAAACTAGCAATCCCCAGGTGGGAAGAAAACATACGAATACGAGATACCAATATTGGCTAGACTTTCTTTTAAAGAGAGCAGATTGTTGCTAACAGAGGTGAGCGTGGTGCGGTTTGAGACCAAGCCAAATACTACACGACATATGCAGCTTGAGTATTTTTCTTCAAACTGCAGGCACACCACGTATGTTGTAAATCGCAAAAAACTGTAGCGCAAAATGCGATATATTGTGATGCGGTTATGTGTTCTATACATCACACATTAGAAATACTTCTGAATTGCATGATTAAAAATAGCCTAAAATGAAGTTATCAATTTAGGGCAACGTGTGAACCATTAAAGAGAAAAGTAAGGGTATTTGAGAAATTGAGAAGTGAGAACCAATCATTTATTTTTAGTTTAATAATATAATTCTTTTATAAAGATAATATTTAGTATTTTGAATTCAATGATTATCTTAAATATATTTTAAATTTTTTATATTTACAATGAAATAATTATCCAAAATTTGATCATGTTTATCTGTAATTAGTTACACAAATTCAAACATAGAGTTTTAATAAGTTGTACATACGGACAATTTACTTGTAGTCTTGAATTTTAAGTAACATGCATCAATAAACAGTACATGATGCTTTAAAAGTTGTTTTTAAGAAATTGGACCAAATGCTTTATAATATAGTATAGATAATAATTAAGTATTCTATAAAAAAATCAATGATTATCCTAATTATAGTTTAGATTTTTTATATTTAAAATGAGATGTTTATCCTGTATTTGATTATGTTTATCTGCAGTTAGTTACACGAATTCAGATATGGAGCTTTAATAAGTTGTACTTACGCACAATCTACTTGCAATATTAAGTTTTAAGTAATATGCATTAATAAACGATACTTTACACATAAAAAATGGTTTTTAAGAGTTTTTATCAAATGCTTTATAATATAGTATAGATACGATATATTTATTATTTAAATATAATATATATACTTATGCTGTATGGTATAGTTTCAACCGTGGGTTTATTATTCAAAATTGCAAACCGCACAACAACATTAGGTTTAATAAAAATTTAAAATGCACTCCGTGCCGCAAAGGGTTAAAACTGTGCGGCCCGGGTTTAGGGCCTAGATGCTCACTCCTAGTTGAAGGGGGGTTCTCACCCAAACCCCTTGATTTCAACCCTAATTCGAATATCTAGTCCAAGAGGCATGAACATGATCCGGTGTAGGAATAAAGGGACATGGAAGGTCCATGTGGATCATGTTAATTTTAACGGATAAATGGATTTTACAAATTTGATTTGTGGAACGTAAATAGTGGTTTCGTACAAGTTACGAAAAATATGATCATATCGTTTTAGGTCTCATGTGAAATGGGTCATTTTTTTTAATAAAACTATTCTGATGACGTGGCCTTAACTTAATTGGTGTTTAAATACAGACATCGACTTGCAATACGTTCGTACCCCATTCATAGATCATTAGTAAAAATGTCTCCTCAACTAAATAGCTATGTATCATGCTTGTGGCAAGTGATGATGAGCCACAAGATGAAAGACGAGATTAGTCTCGTGGTTGTCACCATTTCTCTTATATTCGTCTTGGCTATATTACGCTATAGCTACACACTCTCAAACCGTGCACCACCATTACCGCCAGGTCCTCGTTCCTTTCCGATTGTAGGCTACCTTCCGTATCTTCGCGGTGGTCAGTTACATACACAGATCACCGACATGGCTCGCACTTACGGTCCCATCTTCAAGGTCTGGTTGGGAGCCAAGCTTTTTGTTGCAGTAAACAGCCCGGAACTAGCAAAGGAGGTGGTTCGTGACCATGGTGAAAACTTTGCTAACCGCTTTACCCCAATCGCAGCCTCAATAAGCACTTACGGAGGCCAAGATGTAGTATGGTCCAACAACACCCCCACCTGGCGTAAACTTCGTAAGTTATTAGTCCACGAGGTCCTAAGCAGCAAGAATCTTGAAGCATGTAGGTCTTTCCGAAAGGATGAAGTTAGAAAGACCATAAAGAATGTTTATAGTAACATGGGGACCACGATCAACCTTAACGAAATCTCTTTCTCGACAGAGGCCAACGTTCTAACAAGAATGGTTTGGGAAAACTCATCAGACACCCCTAGTGGAGCTGAGTTTCGGATGGTGGTTTCAAAGATCCTTGAGATTATCGGAAGACCGAATGTGTCTGATTACATCCCTAGTCTTGCATGCTTTGATCTACAAGGTGTTGAGCGGGACATCACGAGGGAAATCAAGAAGTTGGATCAAATTTTCACGATCATTATTGACGATCGAATCAAATCCAACTCCAAGAAACCAGATGTTGCAATTGGGCATCATGAAGCTGGAAAGAAAGATTTTTTACAAATCTTATTAGAGCTCAAGGACCAAAAAGCCGGTGCAACATCTGTTGAAATCACCAACCTTGACATAAAAGCACTTCTCACTGTAAGCTTTATATATCCATCCATCCAAATCTTACGTTTTGTGGATCGCATGTACATGTATATATATCATAATTACGTACATCTAACAAAATGAGTATATATATCATTGAACCTCTAAATTGACAATATGTATAAACTTTGTTGTATCATGTAGGACATTATGATTGGAGGAACAGATACAACAACGTCGCTCATAGAGTGGACAATGGCAGTGATTATGCAAAATCATAACATCATGGCAAGGGTTCAAGAAGAATTAACACAGATTGTAGGAAAAAACAATATTGTCGAAGAATCTCATATTTCAAAACTAAAATACCTAGACGCAACTATTAAGGAAACGTTGCGGTTGCACCCAGTGTTCTCTCTCATCCCACGGTCATCGAGTCAAACTTGCATCATAGGTGGGTACACCATCCCAAAGGGTTGTATTCTCGTTCTGAATGCTTGGGGAATCCATCGGGATCCTCGATATTGGCACAATCCATTGGATTTTAATCCTGAGAGGTTCTTGGATCATGATGGGACTGACAAATACGATTTCAAAGGAAATAATTTGAAGTTCATCCCATTTGGTTCGGGGAGAAGATTGTGTCCAGGTGTTCCTTTGGCCGAGAAAATGCAAATGTATATCTTGGCTTCACTCTTGCACTCGTTCGACTGGAGCTTGCCTGAAGGTGAAAACCATGATCTCTCACATACATTTGGCATAATGCTAAAGAAAAGAAATCCACTTATGGCTATCCCATCACAAAGGTTGCCTAACGTCAGCCTCTATATGTAACCTTAATTGGTTATCATCTTTGGAAACCTCTATATGTTGTATACTTCCAGTTTGTCTAGTTTTGGATGGTCTATTTCCTATGTTCCATCGAATGTGTGCCGGTTTCTATTTTGGGTTGTGTATATTATCGAATAAGTTTCCATCTATATGTATCTTTTCTTTTTAAATCTCAGTATGATTACAAATATGCGGTAAACGATATGAACCCGTATGATTCACATATGTTGATATGCGAATTAGTTAATTAGTTGATACTTGAAACTATATTTTAACTATGCTTTTGTTTTATTATATATTAATACGGATATTCTTTATATGGAGTGACGTGTATTTAAAATTTTCTGAATCTGTCTTTGATCTAAAACCCTAAAAACTAACTAAGAACCAAAGATATATATAAAAGAAGAAAAACATTTTAGAATTTAGATTCTATATTTCCATCCATCCTCCTGATCATCAAGAGCTTTGCTGGTATAGTTTAATTGGTTAGGTTATTTGACACTATGGGTAGATTTTTAACAAATAGAAAAGCAATTACTGATTGGTGGAACTAATATTGCTGATAATTCTAAACAAAGCCGTCCGATAATTCTAAACAAAGCCGTCTGGAAGTCAACTTGTCTAAGATTTTTGGGGGAATTCTTAGACAGAATATTACTCTAGTTTAAGAATTGATCAAGAATCAGTTAGACAAATCCAGTTTAACGAAACAAAACATAAGGAAATACCTTCGTCTATAAACACCATTGTAAAATCGTCGAAAAAAGACATACAGATATACCTTCGTCAAAAAACAGTTAAGCTAAAAATGTAAATTTATATGAATATTTAAATTTTTTGAAAGAGATGTTGGTGATGAATATAGATAAGATGAGATAAATGCACATTTTTATTTATTTATTGATAATTATCTAAACTTATGTACTTATTTATAAATGAAGCTCATTCAAACAAAATAAATAAAACTTGTATAGAAGAACTGCTCAACAAATATATTTTAAAATTATATTAATTTACATATTATGTTTTCTAATAATGTTATATCAAACTTGAGACAATGAGTTTTATTTATGTCGTAAATGAAAAGTTCTATTACTCATATAAAATCAAATATTAAATACCCCTTTGGAATGTTGAGAAGAGAAAGCAGATTTTGGTTAGGTAATCTATGTGATTGTTGATAGGAACTTCTAGAAGGGTGAGAGTTATTTGTCACCATTTCTGTGCTCATCTTAGCTATATATTATGGTTATGGTCCACACTTTCCACCTCCTCAAATGGTGATGGTGCACCACCATTGCCGCCACCTGCCCATTCTAGGCTACCTTCCATTTCTTGGCTGTAACTTGCATACACAGTTCACCGACATGGCTCACACTTACGGTCCAGGTTCGGCTCGGAACCAAGCTAAGCATTGTGACAGACACCCAGGAACTAGCAAAGGCCGTGGCTCGTGACCAATATGAGATCTTTGCTAACCGTCCCCTCACAGTCGCAGCCTCAATAAGCACTTATGGAGACCAAGATATAGCCTGGTCTAACCACAACTAATCCTGGTGTAAACTTGGTAAGATATTTGTCCAAGAGGTCCTAAGCAGCAAGAATCTCGAAGCCGGTAGTTCTCTCCGAAGGGATCAATTTAGAAAAACTACTAAGAATGTTTATAGTAAAATAGGGACAGCAATTGATCTTAACCAGATCTTTTTCTCAAAGATTGCCAACGTTCTAACAAGCATGATTCGGCAAAACTCATTGGATAAAGGGGCAGACTCCGACCATCTTGGAGCTGAGTTAGAGATGGTGGTTTCGAAAATGGCTGACCTTTTCGGAAGACTGAATGTAACTGATTTCTTCCTAGTCTAGCATGGTTTGAATGTAACTTTTTTATTAGGCTTCAAGGCAAAGGTTTCTAGTTCAAGTTATTTGCAGGTTGTATAGTACAAGTGAACAACTTCGAAACATGATAGAAACGAATCAAGTATTTATATTGATCCAAACATACACACATGTTGCTGATAGCATCACCCACCAGCGTTTTGCCCACAGGCTATCAGCGGTCGCTGATAGTCCTCAATTTTGTCGTCAAGGATTTAAATGGTTGCTCCTTAGATCCATTCTAGAATGAAGGATTTAAGTTTCTACAGATACAAGTATATATGCCTACGCAAAACGACAATTTGTTACTAAATCTTGCTTAAATTAGCAAGCAGTATAATGAATACATCAAAGCGCATCTTGAAGCTTCATACTCCTTTCACTTGTACCCAACTGCACCCGGGAACCTTCTTCAGACCTATACCTTTCATGGCTACTCTCATGTCATCTACGTCGCTCCAATAACCAGAAACAGAAGAGACTGTAGCAGATAGTATATAGTTTGCTCCAACCTCTGGTTCAATCTTTAGCAGAAGCTTCATCAGATTCTCATCAAAACTAGACCTGCTAATTCCATGGTTCTTATATGCACTCATGAAGCTTCTTAACATAATGGAGTTGGGTTCCATTGGCATGTTCCTTAAAACATCATATGCTTCTTCAATCATTCCTGCTCTACCAAACATGTCCACCATGCATCCATAATGTTCCATTGTTGGCTTAACCTTGTAACATTTGACCATTCGATCAAAATATTCTCGACCCTTCTCCACAAGTCCCATGTGGCTGCAAGCAGAAAGAATCCCAGAAAAAGACATGGCGTCGGGTATCAAGCCAACCTTTTCCATTTCATTAAACAATGAAATTGCTTCTTCACCGCGTCCATTTTCTGCAAGCCCAGAAATCATTATAGTCCAAGACTGCAGATTCCTCTCCTTCATTGAATTAAAGATCACCATGGCTTTCTCAATGTAGCCACACGTTGCATACATCCCGATAAGTGCAGTGAGTAGAGAAACGTCCAATCTGATATCGTTTGTGAGGATGTATGCATGTATGGACTCCCCCATTTTGATGTTCACCAGATGACTACAAACAGATAGCAGGCTAACCAAAGTTACAGAATTGGGCTTCTCTTTTGCTTGCTTCATGTCCAGGAACACCGATAATGCATTCAGTGGGTAGTTGCTGCATGATAGAATGGTAATAACTATAAAATTTGTGGTTGGAAATCCAAAACTTAAAGAATTCCAAATTCTAAGAACAAGTTCCCTTATTAAGTTTACGTGCCTGGCTATTGTTTATTGCTAATTTAATCAATATGGGATGTTAGAAAAGCCATACCAAGTGACATAGCCGGCAATCATCGAACTCCAAGAAACCACATCTCTTTGACTCATTTCATCAAACACTTGACCTGCAAAGCCAACATTTCCACAGGCTGCATACATCCTCATAAGCGTATTGTTTATATATCGATCAGAATCAAAACCCGTCTTTAAGATTAAGGAATGTACTGACCCACCAGTTGCCAACATAGAGCATCGTCCACAGGACTTGAGAACAAATGGGTAAGTGAATTTATCAGGTTTAAGATCAGTAGTTCTTTGTAGCTGGTTATGGAGTCTGACCGATTCCAACGGTGTTGGGCTTTTGGAGTACCCTTTAATGATGGTATTCCATGCGAATAGGGGTGGGATTACTGGTGAGTTATCAAAGAATAGTCTAGCGAAGTCGATGGAGATTGAAGAGGAAGCGAGGATGAAATTGGATATGATGAATTCGTGGTGATCGAGGGCCGTTTTGAGAATGAAAGAATGGATTTGGAGAAGGTGGGTTGTAGTTTTTGGTTGTTGGAGGAGCGTTTGGATATGGCGGAAATTCATGTCATCTTGATTGGATTAAAATGAAGAGCAGGTAAGTTTCTTGAGAGTTCTCACATACATCATTCTTGTAGCAGATTCTTGTATTTGAAACGTTGTGATAAACACCGCGGAACTAGCCAAGGAGGTGGGTCGCGGCCTCAATGATCAGTTACGGAGGGCATGATGTAGCATGGACCAGCAACAACTCACTACAATAAAATAAGGTTTATAGGACACCCTCAATCTTTAAGTGTCTCAATAGACCATTTTATAGGACTTAATTTTTAGGACCAAAATATAAAGTGTTCTATCTAAAAGTGTTGTAATTAGTTTATATGACGCTTTTAGACGTCTTAACAAGTTTTTAGAACATTTTTAATACAAAGTGTCGCATTAGCAATTTTATAGGACACTCTAAACTCAATTTTTTATAGAACATTTGTTTTTATATGACAGTTTTTCAAATAGTGTCCTATAAAGTTGCTTATGGGACGCTTTATATTAAAAGTATCCTAAAAAACTTATTACAACGTCAAAAAACGTCATAGAAAACAACGCATTTAAATAGGATGCTTTATTTTTTGGTCCTATAAACTAAGTCTTATAAAAAGGTCTATTAGGACGCTTAAAAATTGGGAGTGTCCTATAAACCCGATTTTGTTGTAGTGCAACAAAATCAGGTTTATAGGACACTCCCAATTTTTAAGCGCCTTAATAGACCTCTTTATAGAACTTAATTTATAAGACCAAAAAAATAAAGTGTCCTATCTAAAGGCGTTGTAATAAGTTTATATGACATTTTTTGACGTCGTAGTAAGTTTTTTAAGGCACATTTTATATAAAGCGTCCCATTAACAACTTTGTATAACACTATTTGAAAAATTGTCCTATAAAAACAAATATCCTATAAAAAATGAGTTTATAGGACACTTTTATAAAGTTGTTAATGCGACACTTTGTATTAAAAATATCCTAAAAAACTTGTTAAAACGTCCAAAAACATCATATAAACTTATTACAACACCTTTAGATATGACACTTTATATTTTGGTCCTATAAATTTAGTCCTATAAATAGGTCTATTGGAACACTTAAAAGATTAAAGTGTCCTATAAACTTAATTTTATTGTAGTGTACTGATTGGTGTGGCGTAACCTTGGTAAGATACTTGTCCATGAGGTCCTAACTCCTAAGTAAGAAGAATCTAGAAGCATCTAGTTGTTTCCCAATGGATGAAGTTAGAAAAACCATCAAGAATGTTCATAGTAAAATGGAGACACCAATCAACCTTAACGAGATTTCTTTCTCGACAGAGGCCAACGTACTAACAAGCATGGTTTGGGAAAACTCATGCCATTTTGGAGCTGAGCTGAGTTGGAGGGGTAGATGGGTAATTAAGGTCATCGCTTAATCAGGGGTGGAACACGACCGTTGTAGTTTAAGGGGACGAAATATAATATTACAAAATTTTAGAGATCCAGTGATACGCATACAACTTTTTTGTTCTTTTTCCTATGATCTAATATTAAATTTTAGAGAAAAAAATTTAAGGGGAGATAAGGAGTCGTTTACCAAGTTCTAACAAGTCATATTGTCTTACCGAATGAACATAACAAGAATCGGGAATCTTACACGTAAGGATTTAGTGGGTAAATTGTTGCATATGATGCCATTTTGATGGAATACAAATTTTAGCCAGCAAGGTAAGTGATAGTGTCAAAAATTACCGGTAAGTATTTATCAGATAAATGTTTGAATAAACGGCCTCTAAAACTCAAAACCTTTCACCATTAACTGAAAAACAGTAATACAATTTTGTTATGTTTTTTTATACTATTATGAACTAATAAAAACAAAACCTTTAGATTAGCAATATAACACTACATACAAAATTAAACATTATTTTTTATATTATTTAAAAAACTAATTCTTATATATAATTTACATTAATAATTAATGTGTAGTGCATGGAATGGAATGAAAAAAAAATGAGAAATTGAAAAATGCAACATATGAGATTTGAGACCGTGACCTCAAGGATATAGTCATAAAATAATAATCAACTGAGCTGCCAACACCGTATATTTTATATAGTTCATGAACTCTTTTTCAGTCAAAAAGTGAGGAGGCCATGTCCCCCAAAGGCCCCCATGGGGTTCCACCTCTGCACTTAATTATACGGGTAAATTTTTAGGACCAGCCTTTTTTTAGTATTTTTGTTATGTTTCATGAGTATTAATTAGTTTTTCCGTTTTATAACTAAAGGTAGATTTTAAAATTAGGTATTTAGTTATTTACTGTGAAAGTGGGAACATATTTCGAAACAAACTAGAATATGTGAACACTTATTTTAGGACAGATAGATTAGTATATTAAGAATACAAAAAACCATTTACAAATACAACAATTCAACTTTTTATTCCAAAGAACAACAATTTAAAGCTTGTAAACATTTGAATATACTTTTAAATTATATTAAACGAAGTTCAACCAGTTTTTGTTTGTTATACTTTTTAATTTACCTTCTTGACCTGCATGCCGACTCGTTTCTAATACAAATAGATTTGTTTGTGATAAGTGTATAAAGGATGTGACTTTACTGATAACAAGTGTTACTAATGTTTATTTCTTTTGAACTTTTAAAGTGACAATACGTTTAAACTTTGTTGTATTTGGACATTATGGTTGCAGGAACATGAACAACCACATCACTAATAGAGAGTGGGTAATGGCAGAGATTATGAAAAAACATTACATAATGAAAAGGGTATGTTCAAGAAGAATTGGTGGAAATTGTAGGACCGAACAACATTATGGAAGAATCTCATCTTTCGAAACTAAAATACGTAGATGCGACGATTAAGGAAACATTTCGCTTGCACCCAGTAGTCTCTCTCCTTGTCCGACAGTCACCAAGTGAAACTTCCCAATGTCGAGGATATATATGGATGGATTGCCCAAACGTTCAAAAAGACAGTACAACCCTTTGGGACAATCCCTTGGAATTCAATCCTCAAGAGATTCTAGGTTCATGCATGAGGTGATTGATAAATACGATTTTAAAGGAAACAAATTAAATTCTTCCACTTGGACCACGTAGAAGATTTGTAGGTGTTCCGTTAGCTAAAAAAAATACAAAAAATGTATATATAGGCTTCCCTCTTGCATTCGCTCAACCGGAAAAGGTGGAGATCATGATCTCTCTAATAAATTTGGCGTTACGCTAACAAAAAGAAAACCATTTAACGGTATCGCATCTCAAAGGTTGCACAACATCACCATGCATGTATAATTAATTGCCCATGGCTGTTTAGAATTTGCAACGACCAAATATTACAGGGATTCCTTATTTGAATATGACTTATTTGTGTCTTTATTAATTAAAGTAAGAGTATGTTAGTCTTTTTTTATATTAAAGAGTTTGTTATGTTGTTTGGAATCTGTTTAGCACAATTAGGTCTCTGTAAGCTTGTCGTATATATAAATACGTAGTAGGTGTAACAATTCGTCCATTTCCTCTCTTGTTCATACTCTCTCTGTGTGTCTGTACGTGAGACCTAATAGTCTTTAATATATAATTTAAAAATGATCGATCAGATGCTAACTCATGTTTCTTACGTCGTGTGTGTGTGTATATATATATATATTAGGGTGATCCTAAATTCAAACGAGAAGTGGGTTAATTTGTGATATATAATTATACGCATAATATGCACACTTAATATGCATAACTTCATCAAGTCACCTGTCTCCTTTGGGTATGTTTAATAATATATGACTAAGCGTACATATCACAGGTAATTATACATCATCTTGGAACTTTTCGCCTTCTCACATCTTGATTAACTTCTCCACGATCCTACCTATATCTATGTATATAAAATAATATATATATATATATATATATATATAGGGTTGAGTTCACGTGAGACCAAGAGTTTTTCGTGAGACCCGTAAGACCAATTTATGTTCATTGATCAAATTTATAAATTAATGATCTAATGGTTACAAAGTTGCAAGGTGGCAATTTCGTAATTAGTGAGAAGTCTCGTGGCGTTTATAAATGTTCAGATCTGACGATTRTAAATCTAATCCAAGGGTTGAGAATTGGTCTTACGGGTCTCACGAAAAACCATTGGTCTCACATGATCCCAAGTCTATATAATATATATATATATATATATATATATATATATATATATATCCAAATGACGATGGCTCTTATTTGTTTTTTAGATATACGTACGGTCATCGACTTCAATTAATTATCCTACTCACATTCATATATTAATCTTTAATTAGCAAAAAAAAATGATAACTCACATTCATACATTAATCCTTATTTGTTTAATGACTATGTTTAGTGATTAGATTAGTTGTCACAAATACAATAATTACTCTAGTTTTGTCATTAATTAATAATTAGTCATTATTTTTGTATTTAATCATTAATGCAAATTAATGACGGATTTTTAGTGACGAAAAATGACAAAAAAAATGGTCATTAATTAAAAGAATATAAAAAATTAATTGAAAATTATCACTAATTTCTACTCCATTGCAATAAATATAAAACCTATTATTTTGTGATAATGAAAATCTAAAATATTAATTTCCAATTTGAAATCATTGGCGGTTTTACAATTTATAAATTGAATTAAATCTTATACATGAAAACAGACATTAATGTTATTCATTACTCTCAGGGCGACCACCTGCTTTGCAGATAGCTCGGAGTCCTCGCATTTGAACCTTTGTTGTTACAAGAGGACTTTTATTTTTCCTTGGATTTGAACCCAATGGATATGAATATGTTATAAGAAATCCCAGTATGGTGATTTTTATTTGTGGATACTGTATAAGGATACGCATGTATTTTGAGACTTTTGCTTCACTTAATAATTTAGATGTAGACCCAAGGGCTAATTAATTAGGCTTCATTTGGCGTATAAATACGACCATCCACTTGCATTCATCCATCAATTGTTAGCAGAAATGACTAGTCAAGTGAACACCCATGTTTCATGGTTGTGGCAAGTAGTAGCCATCAACAACAAACACCACCTTACTCTTCCACTACTCATCACCATTTCTGTGTTCATCTTGGCCATATTATGGTTATGGTCCACACTTTCCACCTCCTCAAATGGTGATGGTGCACCACCATTGCCACCAGGTCCCTATCACTTGCCCATTATAGGCTACCTTCCCTTTCTTGGCCGTAACTTGCACACACAGTTCACCGACATGGCTCGCACTTACGGTCCCATCTTCAAGGTCCGGGTGGGAACCAAGCTAAGCATTGTGATAAGCTCCTCGGAACTAGCAAAGGCCGTGGTTCGTGACCAAGATGAGACCTTTGCTAACCGTACCCTCACAATTGCAGCCTCAATAAGCACTTATGGAGGCCAAGATATAGCATGGTCAAACCACAACTCATCCTGGCGTAAGCTTCGCAAGATATTTGTCCAAGAGGTCCTAAGCAGCAAGAATCTCGAAGCCTGTAGTTCTCTCCGAAGGGATCAAGTTAGAAAAACTATCAGGAATGTTTATAGTAAAATAGGGACCGCAATTGATCTTAACCAGATCTTTTTCTCAACGATTGCCAACGTTCTAACAAGCATGATTTGGCATAACTCATTGGATAAAGGGGCAGACTACGACCATCTTGGAGCTGAGTTAGAGATGGTGGTTTCGGAGATGGCTGACCTTTTCGGAAGACTGAATGCAGCTGATTTCTTCCCTAGTCTTGCATGGTTTGATCTTCAAGGTGTTGAGAGGGACATCAGGAGGGCATCTAAGAAGTTGGATGGGATTATCACAAGTGTTATTAACGACCGAATCAAATATAACTCCCAAAACAACTCAGATGATGATGCAGACGGAAAGAAAGATGTTTTACAAATTTTATTAGATCTCAAGGACCAAAAGGATGCAACATCGGTTGACATCACCAATCTTGACATAAAAGCACTTCTCACTGTAAGCTTTATATACCCTTCCTAATCCTACGTATATGTATTTAATGGGTTCTATCATGTGATTACATCTATAACAAAATGAGTATGACGGTAGGTGAAAATTTGTTACCTCTAGTGACGACTTCACTCTAACTAATGTTGATTTCATTTGATGTACCAGGATATCATGGTTGCAGGACCAGAAGCAACGACATTACTGATAGAGTGGACAATGGTAGAGATCATGAAAAATCCTAAAGTAATGAAAAAGGTTCAAGAAGAATTGGCACAAATTGTAGGACCAAACAATATCGTGGACGAGTCTCATCTTTCGAGACTGAAATACCTAGATGCAACGATTAAGGAAACATTTCGATTGCACCCTGTAGTCCCTCTCCTTGTCCCACGTTCACCAAGTAAGACTTGCACGGTAGGTGGATACACCATCCCAAAGGGTTGTAGTGTCTTTGTGAATGTCTGGGCAATCCATAGGGATCCTCGATATTGGGACAATCCCTTGGAATTCAATCCTGAGAGGTTCTTGGGTGATGAAGGGGTGAACAAATATGATTTCAATGGAAACAATTTGAACTTCTTCCCATTTGGATCGGGTAGAAGAGTGTGTGCAGGTATTCCCTTGGCTGAGAAATCACAAATACTTATCTTGGCTTCACTCTTGCACTCGTTCAACTGGAGCTTGCCTGAAGGTGAAGAGCTTGATTTATCCGATGTATTTTGCGTTACATTAAGGAAAAGAAAACCACTCATTGCTATTCCATCTCAAAGGTTTCCCAACATGAGCCTTTATATGTAATCTTGTTGGACTTGTCCATACAATTAAGATCCTCTCGAGATAACTTGGAGAAATTGAGCTACAATTCCACTCTGCTTGGATGCCTGGATGGTTTGCAACACCTTTTCGTGGATCGTCTGAAAAAAGCATCTACGTACGTTTTATTTGCTTTGTTGGTCGAATGTGTACCAGTTTCTAGCTTGGAAGACTTGTATGATTATCAAATAAATTTCTATCTTAATCTGAATCATTATGTTGTGAACACAAAACATGGACTTTGTTATTTCCTGCCGTCTGTTGTATATTTTGTTTCACTGTGTCAATGATCAAAGTTTCCCTAACAGCTTAAATTAAGCACACCTTTTCAGTATATCTGAAAGTGCTAATATTTGTACACAATAAGAAAAATCGAAGGCTTATTATACTGTTCGAGATATTGCGCCCAACGACGTATAAGTTTGTAATGCAACTGTATGGGACAGACATTTGTTTTGTCAGTTCTATAAGACAAATCTTGTAATAGTTTTAATTTGTTTTGTTTTGTTTTGTTTAAATAATTTCTTTAGTTTCAATAACTAATTTCTTTTTGTCTCTTATCTGTTGTATTCGATTAAGGTTTTTTATATCTTAATTAATTTATTGATCATGTTGAATAATTAAGTTGGACAGATCCCACATGAATTAACTTCTAGCACTTAACTTGTCTGGGGAGATTAATTCCACACAAGATTGGTGAGCTCATCAAATCACTTTCTAGATTTATCTAGAAACAATTATTTATCAGAAACGATACTCTTAATTTATAGATCGATGTGTTAAAGTAATCGTAAGTTATCATGGAGAAAACCATCTAGCTAGCACTCGACTCCAATCCGTTAACACTTCAAATTGGGCAATCCATATATAGGGACCCCAAAGATTTTTTTTCATGACGATTGCCAATATTCTGACAAGCTAGCACGATTCGGCAAAACTCATCGGATAAAGGGGAAAATTACAGCCATCTTGGAGGCGAGTTGCTTATATTGATTTCCAAGATGGCTAACCTTTTCATTTCGGAATGATCAAGGGCAAATTCCTTATCTTGTTCTTGTTTTTCTTTAATTTGTTAATTGGTTCTTAGTTATGGAATTTGCTTTTGCTTGCAGTTACGTTGTATACATAGGAAATTAAGGAGTCGTCGGAGACCAAGAAAGATCCATGTCAGTCAACTGCATGAAAGCGGTTCATTTGGTTCGTATGTTGTCCAAAGTGTTACAATAAAATCGTTTATAAGTATTAATTTATAAGATCAAAAAATAAAATATAAAATATTCTTTGTTTTTTATGATATTTTTTAATATAATATGTCATGTTAGCTATTTTATAGAATATTATCCGGAAAAAATGTCTTATAAAAAGATAGGTTTACAAGACATTTCTCAGGAGTATCCTATAAAATAATTAATTAATGTAACATTTTGTATTAAAAATGTTATAAAAAAACTTGTTAAAACGTTCAAAAGCTTTCTTATAAACTTATTAATCACAATTACTTTAGATAAGGTATTTTATGTTTTTAGTCTTATAAATTAAATCTTATAAAACAGAAGCTTAAAAATTGTTGGCGTCCTAAAAACTCTATTTTATTGTATTGAATACAAGTTGAGTTGATAGGAGTCTCCAACATCTAATTAGTTTTCATCTTTTTCAAATTTGATGTAAATTTTGTTTGATTAAAGTTGATTCCATTTCAAAAAATTGTATTTTATTTTCCAAAGACACAATTCACTTTTCGTCAAGTCAAACCGTGTTGATTTTACCTCAAGTGAAAATGCAACATCCAATAATTCATAGAAGGGTACTCGTGCAATGCAGCGAGATACAACTTGATTTTAATATTTCATTTTTATTCTTTATCTTAGTCGATGTTATAGTATGATCTTATGTGATTTTGAAAATGGGATGATTTTTATTATTTTTGAATAAAATATAAATTTGAAGATATTATAAAAAAAATTGACAAAAATACATCGACATTACCATCAAATTAACTATTTAAAATTCCTATTTTTTGTGTACTTTTTTAATTCAATTTTTTTGTTATAATTTAATTTAGGTTCAATAACGAAGTAAAATTTATATTTGCTTTAATAATATAATTTTCTTATAAAGATAATTATCAATTATTTTGTTAGAACTCGATAATTATCTTAGTTATATTTTAGATTTTTTATATTTTAAAATGAAATGTCTATCTTGTATTTGATTATGTTTATTCGCAGTTAGTTATACGAATTCAAACATGGAGCTTTAATAAGTTGTACATATGCATAATTTACTTGTAATCTTGAATTTCAAGTAATATGCATCAATATACAGTACTTCATGCATAAAAATGGTTTTTAAAAGTTATTGTCAAATGCTTTATAATATAGTGTGTATATATATATATAATTAATGCCTTTTTTATCTCTTATACATTGTATTCAAAGTGTACCTAAATAAAGGTTTTCTTTATGTCTTGAATTATTGATCGTGTTGAAGAATTGTAGCAAACGTCTTTTCCTTGTTTGTTTGTTGGTTGTGATTAAATTTGCTTTCACTTTGAAATTACACAACAATTTACCATACAAAAAATATTTAGTAGTTGAAGACCAAGAAAAAGATGTCAACTGCAAGTGATTTGTTGTCACCAAATTTACCATATAAATATTCATTAATCACTTCATGTATATTATATACCATATAGATTTTGATCATCATCATGAACAAAACTTTCCTTCACTCCATGCTTTTCAAATTTGTTGTTATGTCGATAATTTCGACATGGCTCCAAACCGAAATCGTGACTTCCCTTGGCCATCAATTTGCAGCCGATCGGGTCATTGGCACATGCATCGAGAACGAGAGATACGCTCTTCTTGAGTTCAAAGCCGGTTTTCTAGACTCCGATGTCCATCTCTCTACTTGGAGAGCTCAAGACGATTGTTGCAAGTGGCGCGGAGTCGAGTGCAACAACCAAACTGGCCATGTCACTAAGCTTGACCTTCGATATTTTGATGCTAGTCTTAGAGGTGAGATAAGTCCTTCGTTGCTCAACTTAAGCTACTTAAGTCACCTGGATCTTGGTCACAGAGATTATGGACGACAACCAATTCCAAACTTCATTGGCTCATTGACCAAATTAAGGTACCTTGACCTTTCCTATAGCACTTTTGATGGTAACATTCCCAAGTTCATTGGTTCCTTGACTGAATTAAGGTACCTTAACCTTTCATATAATTCTCTTAAAGGAACCATCCCCAAAGTCATTGGTTCCTTGACCAAATTAAGGTACCTTGATCTTTCCCGGAATTTTGTTCATGGAACTGTTCCTTATGAACTCGGGAACCTCACGAATTTGCGTTATCTTAATCTAGCTAACGCAGGAAGCGTTAAGAACCTAGATTGGTTGTCTAATCTTGCTCTTTTGCAACGTTTAGACATGCGTGAAACTCCCTTCACCGAACCAAATCATTGGGTGGATATGATTCTAAGGCTTCCAAAATTATCATATTTACTTTTGAGCAACTGTAACCTCTCACAAGTCACGCTTCCATATTCTTCTTTCGTCAACTCTTCTGTGTCGATTGCTAATCTTGATGTTTCCGACAACAATCTCACTTCATCTGCGTATCAGTGGTTATTGCCTTTAACTAGCAATCGACTTCTCCATCTTGATCTATCTGGAAATCGGTTAGATGGGATACCCAAATATTTTGGAAACCTTTGCAGTTTGACATCTCTAGTTATGAAAGTAAACCGCATGGTTGCAAGCTTTCCAGGTCTTCTGACCAACTTATCTGGGTGCACACCGATTACTTTAGAAGAGTTGGATGTTTACTATAGTCGATTTACGGGGCCAGTACCAAGTAGAATCCAAGACTTTGTGTCTTTGAAGAGCTTAGTTCTAGCCAATAATCAGTTGAATGGAACTATAAGTTCAAAGGTGTGGGAACTACCTAAGCTTGAATATTTGAGTGCTTCTTCCAATTATCTTAGAGGTGTTATACCTGAAGAGTTTGGGAAGTCAAAGCTTCGGTATATCGATCTTTCAAAAAACGCACTTGAAGGTGTTCTATCTGAAGTTCACATGTTAGACCTTTCTAATCTAGAACATTTGGACTTGTCCCTCAACTCTTTATCTTTTCAGTTGAGCACACACTGGATTCCCCCTTTTCAACTCGATCATATCGACTTGAGTTCTTGCAAGTTAGGCCCTCATTTCCCCAACTGGATTCAAACGCAGAAAAATCTTTCCTATCTTAACATTGCCAATTCTAGTATTTCAGATACGGTTCCTATGGGGTTCTGGGACGGGTGGCCGTCTCAACTCAGATACTTGAATCTCTCGTTCAACAACATCAGCGGAGAAGTGGGAGATTTGTCATCAAAATTGGTCCGCTATTCAGCGATAGATTTGAGTTCCAACAACTTTTATGGCCTGATACCGAAAGTCCCTTCAGATCTGGTGTCCTTAAATCTCTCAAGGAACAAGTTCTATGGAGGAATTTCCTTTCTCTGCCAAATAGTCGATGGCATTTTATCCTTTCTTGACCTTTCTCGCAACTCATTGAACGGACAAATTCCCGATTGTTTATCTCATTTCAAGGAACTCATAATTCTTAATCTAGCACATAACAATCTCTCTGGAACCATTCCTACATCTGTTGGATCGTTGGTTCAGCTTGAGGTGTTGTATCTTTGCAACAACAACTTCTCTGGGGAATTGCCTTTGCTGTTGAAAAATTGCACCAAGTTGAACTTTTTGTGTTTACGGGGCAATCGATTTTCGGGTCATGTGCCGACCTGGATAGGAGAAAATCTTTCGGAGTTGTATGGCCTTAGTCTAAGATCAAACAACTTCTTCGGACCTATTCCTTCACAGATCTGTCAGCTAGCAAATCTTCAAATACTGGATCTTTCAAAGAACAAACTTAATGGAACCATTCCTTCATGTTTGAATAATCTTACTGCCATGGTTGAGGAAGGATTGTCACTGGAACAAACCCTGCATTATTATTCACCTGCATACACATCAGTAGGTCCCGATGGGCGTCTAGGAGGTGATGATTACAGTAACTATGTTGACTATGTGATGATCGAGTGGCAAGGAAATGAACGTGAATTCAAAAGTATTAATTTGGGACTGCTAAAGAGCATTGATTTGTCAAGTAACAATTTAGTTGGAAAAATCCCAGATGAATTAACCGATCTTTATGAAATTCTCGCGCTTAACTTGTCCGGGAATTCGTTACGGGGGGAGATTCCACAGAAGATCGGCGAACTGAAATCTCTTCTAGTTCTAGATTTATCTAGAAACAATTTTTCAGGAAGGATACCGTTAAGCATGTCTGCAATGAGTTCAATAAGTTACCTAGACGTGTCGAATAATAAGTTATCTGGGAGAATACCATCCAGCACTCAACTCCAATCCTTTGATGCTTCAAGGTACGCAGAAAATGCGGGACTATGTGGACCTCCCGTTACCCGAAATTGTCCTGGAGACGAAACACACGAGTTTCCAAATGTCGGTTTTGAAGATGGTGTTGATGAAGAAGACATGGATGAATCTTCAAGATGGTTTTATATCGGTGGGAGCGCTGGATTTGTTATCGGATTTTGGATTGCATGTGGCGCTTTACTTCTGAATCGTCGTGGGAGACACGCATTCTTCCGAATGCATGCCCACACGATGGACTGGATTTATTTGCGTATGCTGTTGATCCGTGCGAATTTGAGGATTGTAGCTACAGGCACATAACCATGCATGTTTCCAGGCCTACAACAAAATTATATATAAATAAAATATGAGATGTATTTGTATAAATGTGATGATTTGCATGTGAAACAATATATATATATATATATATATATATATATATATAGACTTGGGATCATGTGAAACCAGCCTGTTTTCGTGAGACCCGTGAGACCAACATTTTATACTTGAAACTTCACATCAAAATGCTGTGAAGGTGACGTTTTAAAACCTTCACAGCATTTTTGCTGTGAAGGTTCGACTTTTTTTAAACCTTCACAGT